AACAAAATAAAGACTTTCTCAAACACCTACGTACAGGAATATGTAAATAAAGGAGTCGGTCATCTGATCGATTGCTATGTTGTGAGACAAACATCTGTCAGCTTAAATCCATACAAAGGAGAATTATCTGTAAGTACATTATTGTCTATGCTTGACAAATGTAGGTTATGGTAACATATACATAAATGTGATACTGTCTCGTACGCATTTCGTTACTTTGTAAACGTAAACACTGATTCAGATTATACAACTAGCGGCAGCCTATGTCGACTGCTTGGAGTTCTTGCTCTCACGTATACAACATTACAGATGAGTACCTATGTGTGTTGTGTACTATATGACAGATAATATTTAATAACTCATTATTTAAAATTTCGGGCCATTTGAAGTGCCTAGCAAAATTATTTATCCGTATTATAGACCCGGTTTGGCTAAATAACATTTTTTTTCCGCCTTCGATTTCTCAACTAATTACTTTAAATGAAATAATATCTTTTCTCATATAAGACAACGCTTACTGTACGATTCATGGGGGTACGGGTTCGCCAACTTTGCTCACCTACAGCGCTGCAGTCGTTTTTTTTATCCCCTCCAACCTGATGCACGGAGCGAATATTTGCGTGATTCTCTTTCGTCTGATCATCCCGTGCTCATCACAGAATTATTCTGGTAGCGTACAGGCGGTATAGTCGTGTATATGTACTTAACAAAGCAGCAGTAGTATATCTATATATGGGCAGTTGGGCACACGCACATATATATAAACACACACGCGTATACGCACTCACATGCAACAAAGGTATCGTAATATATAGCATGCATGCTGTTCTCATGTGTACATACCTTGTATACCTATAGCTAAACCATAATTGTTCGTCAAGTAAACCAGAATTATTCCGTGACACACCTCGGAGTATCAGGCGAAAGGGTCCCTTGCTTATTTGGATGTCTCACAAGCAAATTGTGGCCAAAACATCTGCAATAATACTGTAAGAAATAAGGACTTTTTGTAGTGCTGTTAGGTCAGCGAATATACTATGAAAAAATCCGATATTAGCTTGAAAATTTTGTAGTATTATTGCGTGTACAAGTCAACCTAGTATAATAATTTGTTTGTTCTCTCCGTGTACTTGACTAGAGCAGTTGACAAGGGAGCTACGTTAAAGTAACTCCACAAAATTGATTGCGGGAGCAGCTCAGTCCATGTAAAGTAATATTGAAAACATAACTACTCGCCATCTAGCGGTCAAAAGATAAAACTCCCTTTCGCAGCTGTTTTGCTGTTAGTTCTTATAAGTAGCATAAATAAATTTCTCTTAAAGTTATCATTAATTTTAGTAGCCCGTGACACATAAGAAGCTGTAATTGAACTTCTGTCAAGATTTAGGATATATTGATTCTGTAGTTTTTGAAATTTTTGCGAATATACAAACAAGCGCGGTCTCTTTGTATAATAGTAAGATTTTTGCATACCACTAATGCATGAACAGTAAATCAGCTTAAAAAATTATAGATGTTTAATAGTGTAAAATAGTCTATTGACGTTACACTACAAATTTTTTGAGTAAAAAAATTAATCACAAATTTGCCATTAAAATACGTATAATTTTTTATTATTTCTAGTCAATGCAACAATACAAGTATACAGCAAACATGAATGATGTTATCAATATACTTAAATAAATTTGTAGGTATTTTATTTAGTATGTTAAACACCTTTATCAGCTGCATGATTCTCTCTATGTGAATTCGTACGTTTGCTATGCTGCTAGTTTCTTCTGTTTCTTTTTGGGTAAATTCATGGCTGGATAAAAAAGGTGGCATCACAACAAGAACACTTTTTCCACTCTCTGCAATTCTTGTCCTTATTTCGGGAAAGCCCTTGTCTGCGAGAACTTCATCTCCATCCTCCAGAAGATTTAATAATCTACTTTCCAAAGTAATTTGGGAATCACTCTTTCTCCCTCCAGCACATGGGGATACAAATGTGATGAGACCACTTGGCGAGCACCCAATGAGAACTTTTGCAGTAAAGCCCTTTTTATAATGAGAGTAAGTGAAAACACGATGATCGACTCTCGATGGAACTTCAATTGGAAATTCAGTGCAATCGATGATGACCCTCACGTTTTCATATTTTGGCTTAAAACAGTCTGGAGTCATACCGAGCACAGTGTCCTTGTCTAGCCACTTGATAGAATTCCGAAGGGCTGAGGAAACATGCAATAGTGTTTCTCTTAAAATTTTTGAGATGGTAGTTCGATGAACTTGAAATATTACAGCTAATGCTGAGTACGACAGGCCAGTTTTTAATTTAGTGAAAAAAATGAGCATTCTGTTTTGTTTCGATACCTTGCAATGCTTAACCGTAGGAGATAGTTTGTCAACAAATAGGTTGGAAGTATTTAACGACACACCTGCAAAATCAATTATTTCTTGATTGCTTTTAATTGTTTCTACTCCCACAAATCCAGTTTTAGTTTAATAATGAAACGCTGAAAAAAGCTAAAAAATT